GGGATTTGATACCCTCTTCTGGCCTCCACAGGCACCATGTACATATGAGGCACATGCAGGCAAAACACTCATATACATAAAAGACACCCTCCATTCTTTTTTTAATAAAAAATGCAAGAACTTAAAAAGGGACTGATTATTCATGCTCTTCAGTCTTAATTTTCCTCCTTTAGCCTTCTTTTAAAGAGGTGAAGAGGGATCAGAATGGATTGATTAAGTAAGGCTACTTAGGCTATCTAGTGGCTAGGACTCTGTTGTTTACACCATGTTTTGTTATTTCCTATAATAATGCTGAAAAAGTCACTTTTCCTTCACCTCAATCTTGTCCTTTTTTTTCCCCCCAAGACTTAGAAGAAACCTGAAATACCAGGAAAGACCTTCTTGCCATGGTAGTCCACCATGTTCTCTCTAGCATCCCTCCACAGGCCTGGGACATGGCAGGAGGAGGGCTCTCCCTTGATACCACAGTCAAGGCTAAGCAGGCTCCAATTCCTTTCCATGCAATTCTGAACCTTCTTACCAAAGAAAAAGCTCTTTACAAAGGCTTCAGTGAGCCCAGGTGCCAAGCCCAATGCTGAACTCAGCCTCCACAGAGAACTTTGAGCAGCACTTCACAAATCACTTTATTTGCTTGCACCCTGAGACCCAACTCTGGCTCCTTCCGCTCCTTCTTTAGTCATCTCTCTGTTCTTTATTTCCAGGGTCTACACACTCCCATTGTTCCGTGTCCCCAGCACAGGGGCTTAAAATGCTATCTCCACACTGACAACCCTACACTCCTTTCTGCAGCCCGGACCCACTAAATGCCAGGCTCAAATATTCAACTGGCCACTTGACATCCCTGCCCTAGAATTCCACAGCTACCGCTATAAAACAGACCTCAGTTTCTCCTTCCAACTTTTCCCAGCACAATAAAGTTCTCAGATAAAGACTGTTGTGACATCTGAGCCTCACTGTAGTTTCACGTCAGTGCCCAGTACACTGATTTTGTTGGTGTTACCTTCCGAATCTTCCCCCACAGCCCACCCCAAGCCTGAGCCATCACCTCTACTTAACTACGCTGGTAAATACCTTAGTGGCTGCAGCGTTCCCATCCTAGGCTTTCACAAGACTTCAAATAGCACCATTCCTCTAGTTAGGTCTCCAGCAGCTTCCCATCTCACTTAATCTTAAAAAACCTTTCAGTCCCTCCGTCACTGCTGGAGCATCAGGACACTAGACTTATCTTCTCTGATGTCATTTCCCATTGCTCTCCTGAGCTCACACCACTCCTGCCAGTCTCAGGCTGAAGGGCAGGACCTGCTAACAATTAAAGGTCTATCTCCTCTCCGCCTGACCCTCACTTTTTACTGACTTGAGATAATATTTTATTAGAGGGGATACTGCCATACTCAGCATCACTTTGCAATTCCCCGCTTAAAGCATCTGTTGCCACACGGTTGTCCTTTATTGTTGTCTGTCCCTGACAAGAATATAGAGGAGGGGCTTTGCTACTCATTGGGGTGTATTCAGTGCTGAGGCCATGCCCTGCAGATAGAGTCTCAACAGATATTTACTGAAAGGATACATAAATGAAATAGTTGTCTAGTTGCAGAGTCGAGGGTTCAAGTTCCTTTCTTTCCTTCTTCTAGAATATGGCAGATAATATCCACAAGGAGAACAGTGACGGCAAAACAATAGCAATTCCACAGCAGTCACAAAAAGTCACAAAGAAAGGATTCCATGGTTGAGGGTAGCAATTCTTCCCCAGAAAATCTGAAAACTATACAGGTTGCACTTACCCATTGAACAATCAGATTAAGGATGTAACGTGGAAGCAAGGCAAGAAGGATTTTGGTTTTGTTGTTGTTGTTGTTTTTTAAGTTCCCTTGAGAGGTTCTGATATTCCTCTGTCAGAACCACAAGGTAACGGAAGAGTCTCAAAAGGCATGTGGTAAAATATTCAGAGAAGAAAAACAACATATACCTGATCCTTTAAAAACCACATACCTGACTGGGGACTCAAAAATATGGTTGTTTTTTGTTTCTTTTTGTCTTCATGTAAAAGCACTGCCTAAAAAATGAAATAGACTGGTTTACAAAAACTGAAGGTAAAAGCAACAGAAACGGTCTCAAACTGTATCCAAGAGCTGGAATTAGGCATGTGGGTGGCAGAAGTTTACATGTTAGTTGGAATGACAGACATGTATGCAGGAGTCATTCAGCAAGCCCCTGCTACCAGGGCCCACAAGCCTTACCACACAGTACATGGGGCGCAGAAAGGGTAAGCACACAGGCCAGCCAGGAGCTCCAAGCACTCCAGAAGACTCAGAGGAGTGGGCAGGACAGAGTGAAGAGGGCTCCCTTCTCAGGTTTGGGCTGGCTGTTACCTGAGCCACTGGTCTCAAAGGGCTAGGTGAAGAGTATCCAGACACATAATCTGACTTACACAAACCTACAGAAAGAAAGGAACACTTTTTGTTCCTATTTTAAATTGAAAGCAACAGTCCTGTTCGCGAACGTTTTAAGAAGGATTCTCTGTTGATGTGATGGAATTCCATCCACATAGTCCACCGAGGGAATGACAGGGAAGAGCAGATCTCTGGGCACAGAAACATCTGATTATTTTAATTACCACCAAGTAGCATTTGTCACCCTCTCGCCCGACTCGTCCCTTCTGCTCTTGTGTGCTGACTGTGGACATGAGTTGTAAACACTATATAGGCAGGGTTTCTAGACCAGGCTCTTCCTTAAGGCTGCCAATCCCTCTGCTAGCCAGGTGCCCTGTCAGTCGGCCAGAATCACCACTCTCACACTTGTGTGTATGTATGCATGTGCACATGCATATGTGTGGGGATGTGTACCTGTATCTGAGTTCAAGAGCAGTCCATTCTGGTTTTGGGGGCAGGGTCTCTCACTGGGACTCCCTTAGTTAGGCTAAGCTGGCTGGTTAGTGAGCCGAAGGATCTGCCTGTCTCCGCCTCCCCAGCACAAGATGAAGTACCCACTACACTGCCTTGCTTTTCATGTACACACTGGGAACAGAACGCAGGTCTTGTGCAAGCACTTTCCTGACCAAGCCATCTCTAACGGTTTTGAGACGTCCTGGTCACTGACTTTAAGCTTGCTACTAGACAAAGGGATGCACCTGACGGGGAGGTACAGGATGACTCTGCTGGAGGAAGAGGAAGAGGGGACCACAAAGATCTGCTTCATCCTGTTTGTAAACACAGCCTTGAGTCTTTATCACATATAGAGTATGAGTAATTTTGAGAAGACTATGTCAAACTGTACTTATATTGTCTAGTTCTAACTAGGTTGAAGGAGGCTATTGAGCTAAATGAGATCTTTTCAACTATACTTAACTTTGAAATAATGCCTACCCTTAGTAGCATGTTGACTGCTAACATGTCATTATTTTAATTTCTTTAAGTCACATCTCCTTCTCATAAAGGAAAATCAAGGCAAGTGTTGGGATTATGTTCAGACCTCCTCAGGAGAACAGGGCAAATTCAGCCCGTGGGAATCAGTCAAAGCTGCATCATTCATCCATATTCAAGCACTACTTCAAATAAAAGAAAATGTTAAGACAAATTCTTTCCACATAAGACCCCTTTAAAAAAAAAATAAGAATGAGCTGGGCATGGTAGCACATGCATGTGATCCCAGAACTCGGGAGACAGGGGAATTCTAAGTTTGAAGCCAGCTGGGACTACACAGCAAATTCTAGGCTGGCTTTGACTACAATAGTGAGTCTCTGCCCCCCAAACCCAAAGAAATAAAATAAATAAGTAAATGAATAAATAAATAAGAAGAGGAGATCTAAAACTTTCAGTCTTAAACACCAAGAGAATCTGCCTGGCAGGCCTGGCATTTAAACCGGAAGAGCTCATCAGTGCTCCTAGCACACGGGGTGTTCTGGAAGGAACTACAGAGCTGCCCTAACTAAAATGTTCAGCAAATGGGCAGTACAATTACTCTCTAGGGGCCCTTGTCTATGCTTATCCAATTTCACCCAGGCTTATGCCAAGAACCAGTACCGTCTATAAGTTGTTTTACAGACCATAACTTACACAGGTTAAAGATGCCTAGACAATGTTAAAAAGGTGCCCATGATAGACACAACCTATTCCGTAAAAATGATCAACTCACATCCAACAACACAAAGCGTCAGTATTTGGGGGTGGTTTGATTTTGTGCTCAAGACAGGGTTATACTATGTTGCCCAGGCTGGTGTCACTCTCTTGGGCTAAGGTAACCTCCTGCTTCAGCCTATTAAGCAGCTTTGACTAGAGACATGGACCAGAAGATCTGTGGCTGACTCTGAACTGTGGGCTGTTAAGATATTTCCCCCTTCATCCTAAGAATAACTATGGTCTTTGACAGATAGGTATTTAAATAACATCCTTCTATTCTCTTTCCTGCTCATGTGCTTAGAGTACATGAATGGAACATGAGCCGCTCATTTGTACATGGTGGTGTCTTGAGATAACCCAGCTCTGCCTCAGCAGTGTCCAGGCAGTGCTCTGACTCACAAGTACACACAGTGAGCAGCATGCCGCTCGCTGTAACTTGTTTACTGGCTACTAAGACTATGCTTATAAGGACTGAAGAGGAGCAAACTGCCATTTCATTGATAACCTTAGACTTTCATAAGACTAAGTAAACCCAGTAATAAGCAGTTAAGTCACACAGAGGGTGAGAATTAAAGGTGTGTGTAGGGGGAGATGTCACTTCCTTACAGCATGATCTTTGCTGAGTGAATAAATTCCTTGAAGGAAAAAATACAAAATGTGAAAAACTCTAAGAGGTTAACATCCCTTGAGCATAGACATCAAGGTCTCTGGAGAGGTGTCTGTACCTGGAGAACCTTTGAACTGTGGGCATTCCTTTTTAATGTGTCCTTCTCTTCCACAAATGAAACAACGTTTTTCTCTTAAGTCTTTGTCATCCTGTCTCTTCCATTTTTCCACTGGTGTCCTGAGAATCTTCTCCCGCCCCAGGTCTACAACTGCCCTCACCAGCTTTGATTTCGTAGCTGTGCACTGTGTGGGCTTATCTTCTTTTGTTGACACTTCCTTCTCTGTGTACTTGTTCTGAATTTCTTTGTCCTCTTTGCTTCTTTTTTCTTTGCTCTCAGAGTATCTTTGGTTTGGGGTATCTTCCTGGTCTCGCCGTCGCCTCACTCTATTGAAGATAAAATATAATAGGAAAAGTGTCTACAGGAACTTATCAAGATATGTACAAATGCAGAGATAACCAGGACCAGAAAGTGTGAAAAGGAAGCCTTGAATTAGACAAGTCTAGTTTCACTATTACGATTTCTGCAGTTCTGCAGCATCCACAGGGGGTGGGTAACAGGTGGCCACTCGGAAATTCAAGCCCATAGTTGTCCGAGTCCGTACAGTAAATGGTGTGCATAAGCACAACCCACACACACCCTCTGACAGTTACACTGCACTGCGGAGTCAATAACAAGACACCCAAGTCTGTACATTTTCAACCCAGATGCACTAGTTTCCAAACAGCCTGTCTGCAGTTGGCTGAATTTTCAAATGTGAAACCCTGGCACAGAGCCTGTCTATTAACAGTGCTGCAAAGTTAGCGCTTACTGCTGAGAGTCCTGAGCCCAGAGCCTGCCTCGATATCTGTGTGATGACACTCAAATCATGCGTGTGCTGTTGTGCTAATCAGCCTTTCTGATGTATCACCTTTTACTAGGCAGTGAAAATTTGAACTGTAAAATTTGAATTTCACTGAAAAATTTAACAATGGTTTCAAGAAGGCTTATCTTAAAAAGTGTCATTCACTTTTCCCTTTATTTTTTTTTAGAAGTGATTTTATTTTATGTATACGTATATGTACCAAATATATGTAAGTGTCCACGGAGGCCCTGGAATTGGAGTTACAGGTGGTTGTGAGATACCAGATGCAGGTGCTAGGAATGGAACTGGGGTCCTCTACATGAGCAGTATGCTCTAGCCACTGAGTCATCTCTTCAGAGATAACATCACACATAGCCCAAGATGGCTTCATATTTCCTTTGTAGCTGAAGCTGGCCTTGAACTTTCAGCTTCCTAAGTGTAAAAAGCACTGGTAAATGACACCCAGGTATCAAGATCATTTCTTTCTGCCCTACTGATGACTCCAGACTGTGACCTACTTTGAGTGTATCTGAGGTAAGAATAGCACTGTCCAGTTACAGCAATACCACTGTCAGCCGGGAAAAACGACCCAAGCAGACAACAGAAAACACCTCCCTGCCTCTCACTAACACATCAGGAGACAGCACGGTGCCTAAGCACCTGATCTACTGAAAGTAATCACTAATGATTAAGCTAATTTTAAACCAAAAGCTACACCCAAAAATTAGGGATGAGCACCTGGCCTGGAAGATGGTCATCTTCAAATGAGCCAGCCCTCAGCATCTGCACCCACAGTCACACTGGGATCATTTTGTTTTGATTTTTTAAAAAAAGATCTTAAATTTATCTGAAAAAATGCTTGATTTCAGATGCTTATTTTCCCTGTATCAAAAGACCCACACTTAGAAACCAGTACAACAAGGAAATAAAAACAAGGCTACTCCTTTTGAACATGTGCTTACTTTCTCCTCATGGGACAGTCCTTCATGAAGTGTCCAATTTTTCCACAAATTCGGCAACACCTGTCATTCGGAGCCAGTTCTCCCTCAGTTAGGACATCCGGATCAAAGAAGTATTCCTACAAGAACACAGCTGTGAAAAGGAACTGTGAACAAGACCACGCACACCGTGCAACCAGTGGGAGAACAGGGTGGTATTTTAATATTTGTACTGTTCATCCCAAACAAGATCTCAACATCAGTGAGAGGCACAGCTGATCGACTGACTGACCTAAACACACACACACACACACACACACACACACACACACACACACACACACACACACACGGCTTCAACACAAAAGGAGAAGCCAAGGCCAAATAGAGGGTGTCAGGAAACAAAATGGCTAAACTGCAATGAACTGAGAAACATAATCTACATTGTGCAAATTCTATACTAAGGCAAAGTAAACTGTTGTATGTTAGTACTGGTGCTGCTGGGTGGCTTCTTAAGAAAAAGAATCAGAAGGGCTGCTTCAGTGTCTGCTGCAGGAGTCTGTGGGATGCTGCATCCCACCTGCACACTTCCTGAACAAAGTACTCATTTGAACAGACTGTGCAGGAGAAGGAGTTCTTGAACAAGCATGAGATGCACCACTGTAGATGTCCAGAGTAATATCTGACACGAGCCTGGCAATGATATGCTAAAAGTACCTACATGCCCATATGTAGAAGTTGCATCAAAGTCTTCCTGGGTGGAGGAAGGAAATGGGAAGCTGTTGTTCAAAGGGGACAAAGTTCTGGACAGAGAGAAGGAATAGGTCTGGAGAGAGCTATTGCCAAGTAGGGGCTACAGTCAATAATAAATATTTCAGAATAACTGCATATATTTCAAATGCCACACTATAAAATGACACAGAAGATAGATACTTTAATCAGCTTGATTCAATCATTCCTTTTTGCATACTTATTGATGATTAAAATGTGCACCTTATTTGCTTTCTGGAATTTCTAAGAGAAACTCACCATTTTTGAGGGGTAGTCCTTTGGAAATCCTTTGACTGGAATTCCAAATACTCTTCTACCATTGATAAAAGCTTTCATTATAAAATTTGTCACTATAAAGAAAAAAGTAAGAACTCAATTACATGCATTAATTAAGGGAACAAGAGACTGCACCAAGTTTACCAACAAGATTAACTTACTTTTCCTTGATAATCCAGCACCAAGATTATGATTCAAATCAAAGGGATCTGAGTAAAGAAAAAGAGACAAAAAAGATAATAAAGTAGGATATGCCACCATCCATCCCATAACCTAGGTCCACACAAGAAGGAAGCATTACTACCTCTTTGCTTATTAGTCAGAGTTGTGCACAGCTAAGCAATAGACAAACCTAAATGTAAGCCAAGATCTTCCAAAAGCATTAATCAGAAAAGAGCACCATGTCACCTTTATAATCTTTATAAAGGTTGCCTACTTCTGGAAAAATTACTGAGGAAGACTCATTACCCAGGTGACTTAATGATGTCCATTTTGTGTTCACATTATTAGTCACAAATATAAATGCATAAACCAGGAGTGGCAGTCTCTGCCTGTAATCTCAGCACATGGGAGGCAGAAGCAGGAAGACAGGAATTGGAGACAAGCCTGAGCTATTTAATTGTGTTCCAGGTCAATCTGAGCTAGAGACTGACACTGAGATGGTAAATAGTGATTATCAATGGCCAAGGAGACGGTTCAGTGTGTAAAACACTTGTTGCACACTTGTCAAGAACCATGAAAAGCCAGCTGCAGGAGCGGGCCTGATGAAAGGAGGAGGGTGTGACAGATGTGGTTGAGGGGACTGTTTCATACAGTACTATTGAGCACCTCTGAACCCAAGTATTATTTGATAGATGATTAAAAATACTAAATACACATTACTAATGATCTAGTCATCATATGAAGATAGGTATCATTTTCTTCCTGTCTAAGACAGTACTGAAAAAGGCAAAGGAAAAACCAAGATGCCTCTTTTTAGAGCCCTCCATATGGATGTGAAGGACCACATATGCACAGCAGGACAGGAGCCAGGGAGTGAAGCTAGGCACCAAGATTCTGCAGGCTTTGCTTCCAGCGGGCAAGCACCACGCCAGGGAGTATGACATCAGACGTGACTGTCGGCGGGAGCACAGAACCCTTCCTCTGGTATCTGGTACTACGTGCGAGGAGACTATCGTCCTAGTCAGATGCTGCTCTCTTCTGTTGGGGTGTGTGTGTGTGCACAAGCGAGTGTGTGCGTATGTGTTGTGTATGTGCGTGTGAGTGTGTGTGTTGTACTTTGGTTGTTTGCTTGGTTATAAAAGGCAGACTGTACCTTAGTTACCATAGTGTTGAAATGATTGCTACTATGCCGGGCATGGTGTGCATGCCTCTAACTCCAGTGCTTGAGAAGCTGAGGCAGGACAGCTCTGAGTTCTAGGTCCTCCTCTCAGGACTGAGATGACATATGGGCCACCACACTCACAATTCTGCCCTTTCTTCTTCTTTTTTTAGTTTACTTAGTATGCTGAACAACAAAAGACATGGTAATATGAGAGGACCCCTTCCCCCACTAATTCTCCTTTGACAGAAGCATCCAAAATGCTAAATCCCCACCCACAGCCCAGGCTGAAGGTCACAGCCCTGCATACAACACTACCCGAAGAAATGAAGTAATCATAAAGTCTATACACCATCTAGATACTAGCTCATGGTAAGAAAATGGATCCTATGAGACCAAGTAGACATTTCCTCAGCTATTTCTCAGCTCGTTAAAAAATTTAACCTTTATTTTGTCTTTTTAAAAATTAAATTCTTACCAGTTAGAAACAATTAACTATAAAAATCAATGGCTCCCATGAATTCAGTAGGGTGACCTGATCCAACTGCCTCAGCCTTCCCAGGTGCTGGAGTCATAGGTTTGAGCACCAGGCAAGCTAGAAAAAGCCTTTCCCTTTCATCAGCACTGACAAATTGTTACAAGAAAATTTTTTGCCCAACAGTAAGCAAAGGTCCTAAAAATTCATTTCTAGTGGCATTCTCCAACCTTCAATAAAGTCTTAGTTTTATTTTAGTCTTAAGTTACTTTAACTTTATTATAAAAAAGACACTTGCAAATACATAAAAGCATCACACACCAAAATTAACCAGACCCAAAGTCTATACAACTCAATGAATCTCTATATGGTTAGAATAGGCATTCAAATCGGAAGCTGTGGAACTCCACATTAGCTTTTACACATTAAGTATTAAATGTTTCATGCACTTACCTAGGACAACCAAAAACATCCACAACAGAATCAGACGTAGACAAACGATTCATTTTAGGTTTTCCACATCCCACTATCTCGAAGCTGCCTCATTTCTACTGCTGTCTTATTCTCCCACAGGAGTCCAATATTAGTAAAAGGTTTATTTTTCTGAACAAAGACTTTTGGACTCATGAAAGGCCCCACCTGGAGGCATTATATATTTTCAAAGGTACCTTGAGGGTGGTGTGGGCCACACCAGGGCTGCTGCACCGCACACTCTGGGCGGCAGCAGTCAGTGACTGCCCCACAAAAGATGCGTTGCCAGAAGAGCCAGGGCTCTTAGTTTAGACTCAGTGTTCAACTTGAAAGGCTCTGCACACCACCCCTCACACATGCTAGGCCAGCAGTCACTTCTAATTTGACTTTATTCATACCTTCAATAACGATGTATTTTGAGGTCCACTGTTTCTTAAAAGTTGTAAGCAGACCTTTTCTTCTGATGCTGATTACATGCTCCTTAAAATCAAACTCCTCTGTATAGAATCGGAGAAGTCCCAACCACAGCTGCCCAACAGATTCTGTATTTTTTCCATATTCTGGCCAACAAGTGGGCTAGAGACAGAAGGGGACAAGAGCTGTCACTCTATCATAAAATGTTAACAAGAAGCCGGGCGGTGGTGGCGCACGCCTTTAATCCCAGCACTCGGGAGGCAGAGCCAGGCGGATCTCTGTGAGTTCAAGGCCAGCCTGGGCTACCAAGTGAGCTCCAGGAAAGGCGCAAAGCTACACAGAGAAACCCTGTCTCGAAAAACCAAAAAAAAAAAAAAAAAAAAAAAAAAAAAAAATGTTAAAAAAAGAAAGCATTTGCACCCCAGGAAGAAAAACCTGGACTATCAACAGGCTTATAGACACAAAAATGTAACTGTAAATTAATTGTGTAAGTTCTCATTCAACTTTCTGTTTTGTTTTGTTTTTGGAGACAGGGTTTCACTATATAGCCCTGGAACTCACTTTGTAAACCAGGCTGGCCTTGAACTCACAGAGATCCACCTGCCCCCGCCTTGTAAGTGCTGGGATTAAAGGTATACCCCACCACACCTGGCTTTTTTGTTTTAAAACATCATTTATATGAATCTATTAGCTTCTACTCTGACTAGGACGTAGACACGACATTTAAATGATGTGTCTCAGGATGTGATGGTGGAGAATCTGTGAAGCAGCTTAAGAGCTGTGCTCAAAGTCTTAGAAGAATCACACAACAAAACTGTGTTCCCTTGGAATAGTTACTACCAAGAGCCAGTTGACACTGACGAAACCCCAGGTACAGTGCCTATAAATGCACTTAGCTTAATGAAAGGGACACTCGTGAATGTCAGTCTTCACTGTCACAACAGACAGATGTGACCACTCTACACCATGGTCATCTACAACATAGAACCGGACGACTATTAGTCAAGGCTTAGGAAAATCTTTACCTTAAAATACTCACCAGTTCATCTATTTGATCAAAAAAGTAAATATTCCAGCCATCAACAAGTATTTCCGGTTTCTTTTCACCTTTGTATATCTGAAATTAATTTAAAAAGTATTAGTACAGAATGAAAAACTAACGCGTTGATAGCAAGACAACTAGGAAAAGCTTAACTACAGAACTACAGCACGTCAGCAGAGGCTCAGACAAAGTCCAGTTTTGCAGAGGACACAGTCCCCTGTGGGTACCTCTTGAAGCACAGGGATGACAGGTGGAGACCTTTGCTGAAGGAAATATAGCACCATAAGAGTGTAGGCGTAGGATGACAAGCTGCCTCTGGACGCATCACCGATGTCACACATCTAGAGGGAAGAGATGACCCTGTGAAGAGCATGTCTACTCAGCCTGCAGCCACCCTATTACCACTACTTCATTTGAGGACCTAATACAAAATCACATTTTCAAAAGTGAAAATGTCAACTAAAGCAACCAACCCAACCTAAATCAAACCAAAAAAGAAAGTAGTGGACACACAGCAGGATTATCTTGAAAAACTAAGACATTAAGGCCAGGTGTGGTGGTGCACGCCTTTAATCCCAGCACTTGGGAGGCAGAGGCAGGAGGATCTTTTTGAGGCCAGCCTGGTCTATACAGCAAGTTCCAAGCTAGCCCACAGTGTGTATAGGGTGCTAGTGTCACACTTGTGCTTTCAAAAAGGTTTGCAAGTGTAGAACAATTTCCAGATCAGCCACAGGCAGCAGTGCACCCACCTTTGTGAACACTTTCATGGTGTAGCACAAATACTTCACTCTGGGGTCAATGGCTGAGTATGCAGACAAGAGTCTTGTGTTATGAAGAGCCTGTTGAAAAGAAAAGGGCATCATGAGGCTTTGAAAACATTGCAACCTAGAAAAGTTCACAACTGCAACACAGTTTAGAAATTCTTTCCTTCCTTCCTTCCTTCCTTCCTTCCTTCCTTCCTTCCTTCCTTCCTTCCTTCCTTCCTTCCTTCCTTCCTTCCTCCTTCCTTCCTGAGATAAGCTGTGTTAATCTAAGAGATAATGACAAATACATGTAATTCTGATTTAATCAATAAATCTTTAGTCTGAATAAATTGGGAAAAAAAGCCATTATAATTAAACAAGCATGTTACTAGGTGTGGTGACACAGGCCTGTCATCCTAGCACTTGGGAGATGGAGGCAGTAATAAAATAAGGAGTTTCCTTTAGGTAGATGCCCTCTCCCTGTGGCATTGTTTGAGTAAAACCCTCTCAGGTCCCATCAAGTCTGGAAGCAGCCACATGTGAGGCCAAAAAGGAGAGGATTCCACAGCAGCTGGGCGGGGCCTGTGACTCCGCTCTGACCAGTGGGACAATGCCTTTGCACTGGGATTCTGTCAACTTGACACAACTGAGAATCATCTAGGAAGAAAGAAGTCAACTGAAAACTGCTTCCATCAGATCTGCCTGTAGACAAGTCTCTGGGACATGTTCTTGCTGGATGACTGATGTGGGAGGGCCCAGCCCACTATGGCAGGGGGTCCTGGGTTGTATATTAAAACAAACTGAGCAAGCCATAGGGAGCAAGCCAGTAAGCATCATTCCTCCATGGCTTCTGCTCCACTCCTGCCTCTGGGATCCTGCTTTAAGCGCCTGGCCTGACTTCTCTTGATGATGGACTGTGACCTGTAAGCCAAATAAACCCTTTACTCTCCAAGAAAAAAAGGAGAGTATAGCACACAAACCAAATTACAGTCAAGTTCAAGTCAGAGAGACAAACCTTACCTGAAGTGAATCTTCAACTGGGCTCATGTGTGCATACACATGTGTGCACACACACTCTCACACTTAAACTGATGAGCTGTGCATACACACACACTCTCACACTTACACTGATGAACGTTTACCAACACACTGACAACAGAGTGGGAATGGAATGCTAGGCAAATATCCTACCACTGAGCTACTCTCTTAGCCCATGTGGATATGAATGGCTACTGAATTCCCCATAGCTTCAGTCTTAAAATACTACTTAAAATGCACATACCAAGCACCCAACTAATTCCCAAAGAGAGAGAAAATGAGGGCTGAGAGGTGCTTCAGCCCCTCGGGACAGAGGCTGAGTAGCCAAAAGGATGGGGTAAGAAGGATGAAATGAGTGCCTCATTTCACTTATGTGCTTATTTTTAAAAAGACATTCATTCCTCTTTATCTCCCTGAAGAAAATGCCTGAAACACCAGGCATGGTAGTATGAGCTTGTAATCTTAGCACTTGTGGGGTGGAGCCAGGAAGACCAGAAGTTCAAGGTCACCATCAGCTGTACAGCAAGTTCATGGCTAACCTCAGCACTATGAATCCCTGTCTCAACCCCCACTCCCAGCCCCGGCAAAAACAAAGGCCAGCCTGGGCTACCAAGTGAGTTTCAGGAAAGGAGCAAAGCTACACAGAGAGACCCTGTCTCGAAAAACCAAAAAAAAAAAAAAAAAAAAAAAAAAAAAATGTACTCAAGGAACCAAAATAGGAGGTTCACACATAACATGACAAGTGAGAGGACAGACTGGGCTGGGCTAGTCTTTGAGACTCTTAAAAAAAAAAAAAAATAGAAAGAAAGACAGGCTGGGCAAACCCTAAGCATCTTACCAGTGTGTTATACAAGCTGATGTCTACCTCTAGCCCACTTCTTAGGTGGAAGAACTTCACGATGGGCACCTTTGCTGTTGTAATGGGCAGGATGTTCCTCAACCCTAGAGGGAAGCAAGATGCATAATTAAACACAACAACTGGGCAGAGATGATTCTCATGCTAATGTCCAGGATGAACTAAATCTAACTTGAGCTGTCTCATTGTATTCATTACAACTAATCAACGAAGTCTGTTGTTAAGTAACTAGAAAATACCTGGCAAAGTCTGCATCTATTAAGCACACTGGTATTTGAATCACAAGAACCAAAAAATCCACTGTCCTCCACAAACCAACTAGCTCTTGAGAAGCTGCAAGTGTGGATGCCAGCTGGGCTGTTTCTAGAGGAACTACTGGAGCTTGCACACGAGTTCTACTACCCCTTCCATCTGACTAATGACCCATGAGCCATCATCTCAATGCCTGACACAGCAATCACCATGAAGCTAAAACAACGACCGGAAAGGGAAGGAATGACTTTCAGTGGGTGAGGAGACTGCCTGAGGCACACTTTGAACATGCTGAAGTAGTGGAGGTGGAAGTCATTTACCTGGCAAGGAAAATGGCACAAAAAGGCTTCAGGGCCCTTCCATGACACTATGTAGGCTGGAAAACGGACCCAAGGGAAAGGAAAACGTGTTATAAGAAACAGGAGAAAAACTGGGAAGAATCCTTGAGGACAAAGAAACCAATGTGCTGGCCTAAGTACTGGAGAATCATGGACCACAGAGTTGAACCATGTTCCTGGTGAACAGTAGCCTGGAGGCACAGGGACAGAGGCAGAGTGACCACTCCTGAAGAACACCTGAGCTTCAAGTGTCATGGTGGCCTGAGAATGCAAAGATGAAGGAATGCACGCTTGAGATTGCTTATATACAAACTCAATTCCTGTGGGCCTACATGTAATGGTGGTATGCAGAGGACCCTTCATAACCGGACTTTCAACTTCACCTTGCATAAGGGGGAACAGAAATGGAAGGCATCCTAGGGAACTGCACGTGCAAGCGGTAAGCTGCAGAGCAGGGCCGCAGATTGAAGCCGCAACAACTTCAACTTCCCTGGCCTGTGCACAGATCAGGCGAGCAGACGTTTGCCTATGTTGCTATTGCACAGACGCCAGTGCTGAAGTCTAGAAGGGATTTAGAGTAAGAGCAGGTAGAGGCAGCAGGACAGAAATGTAAAACAAAAACAGCAACAACAAAAACCCAAAACAACAAGCAAATCTGAATTCACACAACATAGAACCAGTAGGAAGTCTAGGATCGAGAATCTCCACAGTTTGCTATGCCCCTCTTTCTTATTAGGGAATCTGCCATGATTGATCTCCTTTGACACTCACAAACCTGTCCTCGGAAACTTATCCCTTGCATATCACCCTGGCTCCACTTTATAATTCCAAAGGCTTCTGTTTCTACCCACTGTAATCAAGTTTTATGCCAAACTTCAGCTCCTCCCAAATACCAAAGGAGAGACACACACAGGCTTTTAACTTTTCTGCTGTCCTTAAATAACCAACACTTGTAATATGTGGCAGGCATTCAGTACTATGGCTGGGGAGACTGCCTGCCTTTGAAGGCACTGGCTTGTAAGCAGAGCCCTCCAGTTATCATTACATTCTCCAGAGTCCACTTCGATCATATAATTCTCTATATAAATGACTATACAGGGTAATTTCTGTTCTAAAAACAAGCACTGAACATAGTGGAAGCTCAGGACAGGGGCAGTCTATCTCAGCCCAAGTGATCCAGGAAAAGACGGAAGGCAGGCAAGCATGGGTGAGTTACAGTAAATGTCAATGTTCAGCTCAGCCCTAAACACGAAAAAATGGTCAAGTCTAGGAACTTCGCTTTTTTTGTATAATCTGAGAATCCAAACAAAACTTTTCTTTAGAGATGGACTCTTACTTGAGGAAAGTATCTTCTCAATATACAAAGGAAACTGTATCATTTTGTGTGCACGTGCACTCATGAGTGTGTCCACAAGAACAGGAGCCCTGTTGTTCACCTTCATTCTTTACTCTCAGAACAGAAGTTTAAGAAATAAATGCTGTGGATATTGTTCTATATAAATAAAACACTGATGGCCAGTGACCAGGCAGGAAGTAGGTTGCCAGACAAGAAGTAGGTGGGACAAGGAGAGAGGAGAATTCTGGGAAGCGGAAGGCTGAGGG